TCTACAGGACAAAAACATTTCAACATAGAAGACATTAAATTAGTACAAAAAATCAAAGAAAAAATAAAAAATATTCCTGATTTAAATATGCCATTAGAAACAGACTACTTAATTATAGAAACAGACGGGAGTTTTGAAGGATGGGGAGCAGTTTTGAAGGCAAAACCAAATAAATATAGTGATAGGAATACAGAAAAAATATGTGCTTACCAAAGTGGTAAATATAGAGAAGAAGAAGATTATAACTTGAAGGATCAGACTTTATCAATTTTTACTTTGTTAGTTTATTCTAGATTATTATTATAGCTATTTATTATTTTGATTTATTTTTAAGAAGATTATAACTTGAAGGATCAGACATTATCAATTTTTACTTTGTTAGTTTATTCTAGATTATATATATATATATATATATATATATATATATATATATATACTGCTCCAAACTTAGTCACAGTCTATTAATGTGAAAAGTAACATGCTAGCTTGTTCTCCTAATTTCAGTAATGACACTTTAAGATCTAATTAAGCTTTGAATCTTAATGGACTAAACAATGACGGAGAAAAGAAAAGCAAAGTTACAAAGCATCATCAAAACATGAAAATGAGTCAGCCACAAGGGAAAGCACCAATTATGTTTAATTACGTGGTAAGATATATAGCTATTCCCTCCCTTTCATATTAAATGAGGTACTTTCCTTTTTAGTCAGTTCCAAAATAAATGACACATTTGTAAATTTGGAAATAATTCAACTTTAAACTCCTCATTTTACCCATTTTACACTTAATGAGAAGTTTTTATAACCAAACAAAAGTCATGGCCCCACAAAGTTTTACCCCTTAAGCTTTTAAGACCCCAAATTTCAAAAGTCGTTCTTTTTTTTCTTAAACTCCGTGACGAGTCAAACTACCTCATTTAATTTGAAACGGAGGGAGTATTTTCTTTTGTTCTTTTAATTTTTTTCTTCTCGGTTTGAAGCTAAGAGGCGTTGTTGTTTCACTAGAATCTAGATAAACCAGAGAGAGTGAAGAATGCAGCAACACTATTAATTTTATTGGGTAATATTAATTTTATACCGTGATGATGTACCAATATTTTTTCAGCATAATTTATAGAGATGGTTTTATAACCTATAATAAATATTCTTTTAGTTATATGATATTTTTCATCGGAGATCCATAAAATATAGTAACACACAAAATCGATAATAAAACACACAATAAAGTCTTTTTAAAAGCAAAATTGTACTCCCTGTCCCAATTTACGTGGCAGAGTTCGAATTTTGAGAGTCAAACGAGTTTTCCTTTGACCACAATTTTTTATGTCTTTTAGATATTTTAAATTGTTAATTGTTTTGACTTATAGTACTTTTTACATAGTTTCCAAACATATAAATTTTCTTTCAAAAAACTTAAATATTTTATGTCCGAATTTACAACCAAAATTAAAAAGTTTGACTTTAGAAGTTTGAGTTCCGGCACATAAATTGGGATATAAGGATGAATTGGTTACTGTAATATGTTGTTTACATAATCTCTATGGACAAATATTGAACCTTATTAGCGTGGCAGTAGTTGTGAATTCCTTCAAAACTAAGGGTACTTACACACTCATATTCTTATATATACCCACACCTTTCCCAGCATGGAAACCCTCCATTTTTTCGCCCAACACTTCCACATATTAGAGTACCGAAAAACATCAACTGCAACAAAAAAAAGACATAATTTTTTGCTGTAGAAAATGTCGGGCTGCAGAAAAATCTGCCACATTGTTAAGCTATGCCAAAGGCTACGGCGGTTGAGGAAGAAGGCAACTATGTTCATCCGCCGTGTCCCGTCCGATGTGCCTGCCGGACACGTGGCAGTCACCGTAGGAACCAACTGCAAAAGATATGTTGTACGTACCACCTACTTGAACCACCCTGTGTTCAAGAAACTCCTATCTCAAGCTGAAGAAGAGTACGGTTTCAAAAATTCTGGCCCCTTAGCTATTACTTGCGACGAGACATCGTTCGAGGAGTTACTGTGTTATTTGGCCCGTACTGATTCCAAGAACAACAACAACAAAAAAAACATGTCTATGTTCTTAAGGTTTGAAGACTTTCAGAGGTACTGTCACGTAGGAATCAGAAGCAACTTTGACATTTGGTCTGACTCTAGACCCCTCTTGCATGGCACATGTAATAATTCCGTCACAATTGGTTAAAAAACGCCAAAAAGGTAACAATGATTATTGTTCATTAGGTCATTTTTGATGGACTGATCACAATATTTTAGGGGTCGATCACCCGTATTCATAAAGATAGTGCGGACATTAGTACACAAAAAATCAGAAATCGTGCTGGATTCCTATTTTATACCCCTAAAACGTTAAAAAGCGTGGAACGGTCATGGAGAATCAAATGACTATTGTTGATTAGGTCGATTCTGATGGGCCCACTAAATTTTAGGCGATTCGATGCTGGTCACCCTAATTTATGAAGATGACGTGGACATTAGCACAAGAAAAATCAGAAATCGTGTGCTGAATTCCTGTTCGGATCGGATCGGATCAGAGTGGAAATGAAGAACAGAGGCAGGAGATCGACAGATGTGATAACTGGGTCTAGTATTTGTATACTTTGCCTCATGAACCCAAAAAGAGCTAGGTTCCATACCATTAACAGAAGAAGCAAGATTGAGTTTTCAGTGCTGAATTTAAAATCTTATAATGATCGAGATTTGGGAGTTTTTCTACTCTGTTATATTCAGTGATTGGTCAAGATTATATTGTCAAGACCTAGATGAAACTTGAGAAATGAGATGGCGACAAGGTTTACAAATAGGAATTTATATTATATGCACCGACCGTATAAAAAAATTTATACCATCAGTGTAGTGCAGCTTAATTTATTATAAAATGTTATTGAATTAGCTGCAATGTTACTTGATAGTATAATTATTTTCTTTTATTTTTTAATGTCATACCTTCCAGAAGAGTAACCGTAATTTCATTTACTTTCGACTCTGTTATTATTTTAGTAGATTTTCAATAACAAAAAAAGCTATTACATGAGGTAAGGGAAATAGTGAATTGAAGGAGACTAATATTCAATTCACATTTATTAGAAAACATATTTACTATATACTATACTAAACTATGAGTATTGACGCACCTAAAGGTATAGTCTAGCAATCAATGAAGTGGTTAAAAGCTTGAGGTCTCGAGTTCTAGATCTTCCATCTGTTCAAGTCTTAGTGAATATAGTTACCTGATATATATTGTTGGTGGGAGTAGGGGTGGCAAAATAGTTAAAAGAAAACAGTTAACCACCCATATTATCCACTAAAACATAGCTCGGATATAATAAACTTTTTAAAAACGGGTCAAATATGATAAGAACCATATTATCCATTTAGAAAATGGATAACCAATGGGTATAACTTTTTCATTTGTAAAGCCTAAAATTGTGGGTTCCTCAAGTTAGAGAGACTAAGAATTCTCTCAAAAGTGATCATATGCAAGAAGTCATGGATATTATCCGTCGGTTAACCCGTTTTTTTATCCGTATTAAATATGGGTCGGGTCGGAAAATTTATCCGTTTTTCATTACCCGTTTTTGGCCCGAACCATATCCGACGCGACCCGCCCGTTTGCCACTCCTAGGTGGGAGGTAGCGATCCTGCGAAATTAGATGAGGTACGTGCAAGTTGGCCTAGACCCCTCCTCAAAATCCAAATGAAAGTGAGTTACTTGATACATGTAACCGTTGGGAGGTAGCTAATACTATGGCTGTGCACGGATCGGATCTGATTTAGCACATTTCGGATTCGGATTCTAGAAAATACAATCCAAATCCGATCCGAATTATATCGGATCGGATTTTAAAGCTTGGATCGGATCGAATTTCGGATCGGATTATTATGCCTCAAAGTTGCAAACTAATATGTATACTTTCTTTGTAAGAGGCAATACATTAAGAAAAATTCATGTTTATGCAATTATGAGAGTACTATGGTGCCAATATAGCTAAATCTAGCAATTGTAAAGGTAATAACTTGAAGGAAGATGTAAAGGAAGTACTGACTATCCGAAATTAAAGTGTAGTATTTATACATTGCTAATAATTTTGGATTTCGGATCAGATCGGACTAAAATATATCAATCCGATCCGAAATCCAAAATTTTAATAAACACAATCCGAAATCCGATCCAATCCGAAATCCGAAATTGAATGGATCGGTTCGAATTTCGGATATCCGATCCGAATGAACAACCCAAGCTAATATCCCTGAAATTGGTCGAGGCGCTCGACGAAGTTGGTCCCGGCACCTCCTTAAAATCCAAATGAAAGCGAAAGCTTCTTAGAAAAGTTAAAATAGCAGGGATATGAGCTTAAAAAAAAATCTTCTTTTAAAAAGTTGAATTGAACTTAAAAAAGAAGAATTGGGCAGTTGTCTCCACTGGAGCCACGTTTGCTACTTTGCTTCAAAGGGGTTTGGCTATTGTTCCAATTTTTCGTTAGGTATCTGTTTCTCACCACATTATATGTTCCAGGGTAATTGAATTTTCTATATATATATATATATATATATATATATATATATATATATATATATATATATATATATATATATATAGCTTTTTTTACGTGATTAATATAATTTAATAGGTGATAGTAGAGTATTTATTACTTTTAATCTGTTATATCTTATAAGTGGTTTAATTAGGTAAGCACTACGTTAACATCGTAATAAAAGGAGGATAATCAAGGGTAGTTCCGTTTTTACTTTAATCTAGGTTTAACGTAGTGAAAAAGACAATGGAATTACTTGAGAAAATCTTATCCATGACTAGCCAAATCTTGAGACAAGAACCAAGTAAGTCCCCCTTATCCTGCAATTTGCTCCTGCATGTGAACAAAGTTAGGTCTGTTAAATCATTTTCCATTAGAGGGGATGCATGCGAAAAAAAAAAGAAAAATCTTATACTCTAAGGGGTCATTATTTGGTAGGACGTGTTAGGAAGAATAGTATATGTATTAGCTTTGTTATTATTAATCATTTCTTTGATAGTATTTTTTAACTTATGTATTGTAAAGGATAGCTTAAGTTAACTATAGTCAGTATGTTAGTTAGTTGTAAGCATGTTTAGTTATTTGTACAGTTGTCAATTAGTTGGATAGATGGCAGTTATATACACTTGTATCAGCTTCATTTTTGTGTAAGATTGAATGAGAAACTCTTCCAATTTACTCTCTCTCAGTTCGACTCTTCTCATCCTATCTCACAAATTCAACCAACACACTGATTTAACATGGTATCAGAGCCATAATCGAGCGATTCTAGGGAGTTGTTTGTGCAATTGAGGAAGAAATCGAGAGAATTCACTTTGTTTATGTTTTTTTCTAACCCTAATTTCGACCAAATTTCATAGCAATTTTCGATGAATCCAGCAGTGTTGCTACCGGCGACAGGGTTTCTGGCAACGGAATTACCGGAGGGACGGTCATACTCGATCACAACCACCCGTTATATCTGCATCCTTCGGACGGACCGGGATCAATGGCGGTGGGTCTTTTATTTACTGGTATGGAAAACTACACTCTTTGGAATCGAGCTATCAAAGTGGCTCTATTGGGGAAGAACAAGTTGTGTTTAGTTGATGGTTCAACATCCAAAGCTGATTTTGGGCCGGCACTTGCACATCAGTGGGATTGTTGCAACGCAATTGTTACCTCGTGGCTAATGAGTAATGTAAGTCAACACCTATTGACTGGAGTACTCTTCTCTGCGACTGCTCAGACTGTTTGGGCACAACTCAAAGAGAGATTTGACAAGGTGAATGCTTCTAGACTCTACTACTTGCACAAGGAAATTTTTACCTCTACCCAAGGTATATCATCTGTATCTGTTTACTTTACTAAATTGACGGATCTATGGGCTGAATATGATTCGATTCTGCCACCACCACCTGCAAAAGATTATGTTGAGCAATTAGAATTTCAACGTCCGCTACAATTCCTAATGAGATTAAATGACAGTTTTGAGCAAGCTAGAAGTCAGATACTTATGATGCCTACTGTGCCAACTATTAATCAAGCGTATGCAATGGTTATGCAAGATGAAAGCAGACGATTGATTTCAGGAAATAATTTTGGGGGGACTGGACATGTTGAGCCTACTGCAATGTTCACTGTACAATCAGGGAACAAGCAGAGAAAAAATTATAGTTTGGAGTGTGATTTTTGTCACTTGAAGGGTCACACGAGAGAAGGCTGTTACAAATTGATGAAATGTGAATTTTGTCACAAAATAGGGCATTTAAAGGAGAATTGCTACAAGATAGTTGGCTATCCTTCAGATTTTAAGTCTAAGAGGAAGGCCAATGCAGTACAACTAGAGGCAAATAGTACACAACTGGGGAACAAATCAGTACCTGGACAACTATTCACACAGGAACAATATGCTCAAATTTTGCAACTGCTGAACAAGACTTCCATTGGAGAGACCAATTCTAACATAGCAGCAATGGCAGGTAAATCATTTGTTGCAATGTTCAGATTCCCAAATGAATCATAGATACAGGTGCTACGAATCACATGATAGGAAATGACAAATTGCTAAGAAATGGCATGTCAGTAGGTAATGGAGGACAAGTACAGATGCCTACAGGGGACTCTGCCAAGGTTACTCATGTTGGGGATTGTCAGCTTACCGGAGGTGACACTATTAAGAATGTCCTTTGTGTACCTGCATTCAAATTCAATCTTTTGTCCGTGTCCAAGGTGACAAGAGAGTTGAATTGTTTTGCCTCCTTCTTTCCCACCTTTTGTGTTTTTCAGGATCTCTTGTCTGGGAGGGTGAAGGAGATTGGTAAGGAGGAAGAGGGATTGTATACCATGCTATCTGCAGCAAGAAATAATGAAAGCAAAATTTACCAAGCATTTGCAGCAATAACAAAGGACCCTGGAAATACTGGAGACATCTGGCACAGGAGAATGAGACATGTGCCTATGCAAGTTCTCAGGAAAATCTCTAGTTTTAGTAGTAGTATTTTGTCAAATAAATGTGAAGTTTGCCCTTTGGCTAGACAAACTCGAGTACCTTTTCCAGTTAGTCATAGTAAGAGTTTAGATAGTTTCAGTTTGATACATATGGATGTTTGGGGCCCTTACAAAGTAGCTACTCACGATGGATGAGATTTTTTCTTACGTTAGTTGATGATTGTACAAGATGGACGTGGGTCTTTCATATGAGAATGAAATCTGATGTTGTCTTTTTGCTTAAGAACTTCATTGCAATGGTACAAACACAGTTTGGCAAGACTATAAAATCGCTTAGATCCAATAATGGGAATGAATTCTTCAATTCTCACTGCAAAGAATTGTTTCAACTACATGGCATTCAACACCAAAGTTCCTGCCCATATACCCCACAACAGAATGGAGTGATTGAGCGTAAGCACAAACACATTCTTGAAATAGCCAGAGCAATTAAGTTTCAAGGACATTTGCCAGCTAGATATTGGGGAGAGTGTGTAGATTCAGCAGTTTATATAATCAACAGAATTCCCTCTACAGTACTTGGCAATAAGTCACCCTATGAATTACTGTATCACAAACAGCCTTTCTTCTCCCACATGAGAGTCATTGGTTGCCTATGCTTTGCCACCACATTGCCTAGGAGTGATAAGTTTGGAGCTCGAGCAGTGAAATGTGCATTGCTTGGTTATGTTGTGCATCAGAAAGGTTACAAACTACTAGACCTTGAACACAATGTTCTGTTCACAAGTAAAGATGTGACCTTTTATGAGGAGGTTTTCCCTTTCAGAATCCAGAAGTTGAGACTGAGCAACACTTCTTGGATATTCATGATATATCCAGTCAAGTTGTGCTGGAGGAGCCTATTCCACCATGTTCTGCTTCTATTCCACTATGTTCTCCTCCTTCTTCTCAATCAATTTCTTCACTTGAACCAAATTCTTCATCA